GACCGCAAAAAAGTGCAACAAACTTTCCCTTAAATTTCAAACTTTTTTCTCAGAAGCTCTAGAATTTTTTTGAGTACACAGTTTTATAGCGCATTCAATTTTGTCCAATAATGTGCAAGTTTCAAGTCGCTAAGATTACCGTTGATTTTTTAGAATTTTTTTTGTCTCATTTGTTTCCATATATGGACTAAACACAATTTATTTTTATATGGCAGAAACCCGCAACATCCTCGGCGAAAAAAATTCTAAAAAATCAACGGTAATTTTTAGCCACTTGAAACTTGCACATTATTAGACTAAAATTGAATGGGCTATTCTACCGCTTCTGAGAAAAAAGTTTGAAATTTGGGTGAAAATTTGTGGCACTTTTTTGCGGTCTTTTAAAAAGTTTTAAGCTTGAGTTTATGTGAGTTTTGTGAGAGAATGCACTGTATTTTAATTGAAAATTCTTACAAATAAATAAATAAACATGAGTGGCAAACAATATCACTTTGAAATGGGGGTGCTATTGTATTGGCCAATACTGTATGTGACCTGGTCTACGGAAAGGGGGCTTAGGTGTCAAAAAATCAATTTTCACTTTTTGGTTGATTCGGATGGAAGATGAGATGCTTTTTCACGTGGTGAAAAGCAGAAAATCCTAACTTGCTTAGAAGTGTACTAAAAATGTAGAGAAAGAAGAGTAAAAACGAGTAAACGAAACGAGTTGCTTACTTTTAACAGATTTTTTACAGAAAACTAGTTTTCGCACGTAAGCTCCCTTTTCGTAGACCAGGTCACATATTTTAACTTTCACTCGAGCTGTGGGGCTGTTATAAAACATAATACGAAACCAAAATGTTTTCACAAAACCCTTTTCAACCTGTCAAACAGTCACTTCACGCGAGTGTTACACAGTTTAACCCTGGGATTCAGTAATTCAGTCTCATCTCAAGTCACTAAATTTGAGATTAGCACTTAGTGACTATTTTTGTGACTTGAGATGATTTGGCTATTCAGTAGGAGAGAGTCACAAAAAGTTCACCAAAAATGTGTTTGTGAAAACAAACACAGACAGTCACTGATAGCGTTTATGTACCGCGCCGCCCGAAGAGTCGCAATGGCCGAATGGTCAAAGCATTAGGCTGCCGGTCGAGGGGGTCCGGGTTCGAGTCGTCCTCGCGCGTAGAGGGTTTTTTATATTTTTTTTAGTATATTTTTTTATAGGTTTTATTTTTTTAATAATCTTTACATTTTAATGTTAAAAAAAAATATATTTTTTTCAATGGATTTGTATAATATTAAAGCATTTTGGTTTATTTCCTAACGAAATTCTTATTGCACAAATTTCCTCGCTTCATATTCGCGTTTTTTTTAATGAAATTGAAAGCAGTTAACTTTTTCTCTATATTTTTATTTTTGACACTTGCTCTTAGCGAGCTGACAAATTAGTGAGTTTTTTTTTAGACTACAGACGTGAGACAGCGTACTGAATACCAAATAGAGTCAAAATCCAAGTCCACCACCAAAAGTCACTATTAGTGACTCGAGACCGCTTACTGAATGCCAGGGTGAATTACTGAATCCCAGGGTAAAGGAATCCCCTAAGCTTGTTTGGCCAAATGGCGTCGTGGAACTCGTCAAAGACACAATGCGTGTGATTAAAAAGTCAACGCCTGTTTCTTTAAGATTAAGAACTATTTTCCTACAAAACTCCAGAAAAAATAATCGGATCATCATTTTAAGCGTTCCATTTTTTCAGATTTAAACGCTTTCTGCAGCTCTCGAGAAAAACAAAAAATGCATATAAAATGACGCACAAAAATGGAAAATAAACTTTCTTCTATCAAAATTTCTTAAATCAGTATGCAGCTCAGAAGAAAATAATGCTCGCATGTTTATTTCTTCAAGAGAATTTACACCAATAGCCAATTACTTTTTCAAGCAACAGAAAGAATGAAACATATTTCTAGTCATTTTTCTTGAGAGCTGCATACAGCTCTTCATTTAGAGCTTAATGTAAACTAATGTTTTCACTTCAAATAAATGAAAATAATGATAAAGTTTTAACAGCGGACGTCCCTCGGCACACAAGGGCCAACCTCCAAGTACCTATTTTTCTTTCCATTGGCCTTTCGGAGGCGGTGTAAAGCATTAGGTACCTCCAATTGTGTAACAACATCAAGTCTCACACCGCAAATTGGAGGAGAAGCTCGGCCAAACACTTAACAAAGTTGAAAAGTAAAGCAAATATGTTTAATATATAATATAAATAAGGAAAAAGACGAATAAATTTTATTCAACTTTGAATTACTTGCAATTTTCAAAATTTAGCCCACTTTCGTACAGTTTAATGAAGTTGAAAACAATTTTGACAGTTCTCAAAGCGAGACAAGTAAAACAAGCCGGTGTTGGGCCAATACCTTAAGTTCGGGCTACGTGCGGGATCAGACCTAGTTATTGGTCTGAATAAGCCTGTTTCAGGTTTAAAAAGATTTACAAGAAAAGCTTTTTTCGCTTTTATGCTCGCGTTTATGTAACAACCGCTATAGCCAAGTAGACAAAGCACTTGAGTGCTACTCGAGAGATCCGAGTTCGAATCCTCCTCGGGCAGTGGATGTTTTTATTTAATTTTGTTTTGTTTAATTTAAGTTTTTTACATAATATTTAAACTTTAAACAAAAATATTTTTTTACAATGAAGTTTTATGATATTAAAGTATAAATTTTGGTTTATTTCCTAATTAAATTGTTGTTGAACAAATATTTCCCCCGTTAATTTTCGCGTTTTTTTTTTTAATAAATAGAGAGCAATTATCTTTTCCCCTCATATTTTATGACTTGTGATCTGCTCAGAGCCAGTTGACAAATTAGTGACTTTTTTTGAGACTAGAGGCGTGAGACAGCTTCCTGAACACCAAATAGTCTCAAAATCGATGTTCACCACGAAAAGTCATTATTAGTGACCAGAGACTGGGCAAGAGCCTATTTTGTTGGCAAACATATATCTTTTCCTCCCTGATCGTGTGTTTATAAGTTATGGCTCCCAAAATTTTTAGAAAAGAAACATTTAGTTTTGCAGCTAGGTTTTTCTACACTTCATTAGCGATGTAGTAATTTTTTTTTACATATTTTGTAAATTTGACCTATCGCAAAACACTTGCTGGCCCTATAATTTGTGTAAAAAAAACTTACCTTGGGTTTTATTGACATAAATAAAATGTTTAATGAAACTTGACATTAAAAAAGTAACATATATTAAGACAATATTTACGATTTCTTAAAAATAATGTTTTCGTACGAATACAATATTTATATATTAACTTAAAAACCTTAATTAGTTGTTATTTATTAGTTCTTTTTTATTAAATTTTTGTCTTCCCTTCTGTAAAAAGCTCCAGAAAACGCTACTTTGTTTAATATTACCGTTACAATGTTGCAGCAATCGTAGAAAAGCGACACGTGCAATTACATTCTACATACAAATAATATGTACATATTAATGGCCTATTATGTAATGCTTTGTTGTTATATTGCGACTTATTAATTTCTATGACACATTGTTATTATTTAATAGATATTATTTCATCAATGTATACACTGCTTAGACTTATTTTTGTACATAGATATACTGACATACTATACAAGTATATGTAAAACATATACATACTCGTAAACTTCTATACAATTTGTGATATAAAAAATGTAGGCTAGTTTGTCAGATCTAAATCAATATCACAGCTTAACAATTATTTTTTTGTATATACTACAACTAAGCTCAGTTTAATATTGATATTGTGTATAGATTTACATACATTTATTTGCTATGTATACATAAGTAGTACACAAACGTTCATATCTATAGACATTAAGATGTTCATAGGCATGACTGTTTAAAAGGGGTCATTTTTGAATCCTATAAAAATTTTTGCAATACTGAGTACTAGTAGCTAGAGCTTTGAAACCTTTTGACGTATTTGAATTTGAGTAATGTTCTTTTTGACCATTAAAGTTTATAGCTACAAAAAGTTTGTATTAACTAATTGCAGACTACAATAAATTAGATTGTTAGCAAATTAATGATCTTGTACAATTTTTGAGCTATAATTATTTTTTCTTCTTGATTCAGTTTTAGAGGTCAAGGGCACCTCTTACTCTTAAACTTGGAATAAGTTGAAAACAACAGACCATGAGCCACAGCGGCTAAATATTTTAAGATGCATTTTTATTCCGATATTTATTTTGGAAACGACTGGGCATTTTTTATTGTAATGGAACCAAACTGAGGGGTAGCAAAAAATTATCCAAATTAAAAAAAAAGTGTCACCCTTATGTTTATTTAACAAATATAACGACACGTTTTAAAAGCTACATATACATATAACGTAAATCGTTAAACAAAAGTGACATTTGACATTACACAAACGCTCATCAAGGTCTTAATAGGTCTGTTCAGTTATTTTCGCGGTGTAATTACTGAAGACAGTAATGTGTGTGTGAATTTTCTCGCTGCCACGCCCTTTAATTATAAAAATATGCATATTTTTATATAACAATTTTTCAAGCGAAACTTTTCAAAATTAAAAAAAAAATAATCTCGAATAAATAATTTTTTAGATCAAATATTTAAGTTCCTGCTAAGCTTTACTGAAAAATTATTTTCCAATTCCTACATATATACATAATCTACACGAATACTACTAATATATACTTTTATAATAGTAAATAATAATAATAAAAACAAAATATTCGTACTAATACAAAACAAAAATAGAGTCATTAAAATCAACGGGGACATTTTTTTTTTAATAGTTGCGTTCCAGATGCTTCACGATATTCACGATTTGCAGGAACAGCTGTTTTCTCCATTAATAAACCTTATGGAAGGTGGTCGACTGGAACGACTTCCTGTAAAAACCTGCAAATCGTATAGCATCTGGAACGCAACTAATGTATTAATCGACACAGGCGGTAAGTTTTGCACTCGTTTTTCTAGCAAACGTCCTCCCATTCACTTTTTCTCTTGTTTTGATGATCATCGAACTCACTTGAATCGCCTACTTTAGAATGACAAGTTGTTGTTTTAGTATGTAATTTTTAAACGCAACTGGTTTTGTTGTGCGACTTGCGATGATCGCACACGTCTACAACTTGCATATAACACATATCTATATATATGCATATAGTATTATACGTAGTACAAACAAATAAAAATGGATGTGCATTAATATGCACATTCTCGCAGCTGCATTTTTTAGAGTATCTTAAGCAATTAACAGTTTCGCATTTACTATAACGTTGAGGAAACCTTGCAAAACTGCATTTATGAATTAAATTAAATGGAATTAACTGCAATTAACGGCTGGTCAAGTCAGAATCTCGTTCTTCTTGTACAGTGAAATTTTATACCAGACGATGATAAACACATTTTTACAGTTTGTTGGAAATCATACTTAATACTTAAGTCTTTTACTGCATGTCTTCGATTCTTAAAATCACCAGCGTCGATCCGTGGTCTCACTGCTGGGCAGATAAAAGTCATCGTCATGGGTAACAAGCAATTCTCGCATTCCGTAGCGTCGCCTGTTGGATGATAAAATTTAAATGGAAATTATGAAAGGAAAATTTTACAGCAGGATTTTTATACCCGAGCGCACTTGTGCACAAGGGTATTATAACTTTGTTCACATAACGGTTGTTTGTAACAGGCAAAACGAATCGAGATAGATATAGACAAATGTATACATAAATGATCAGAATGAAAAGAGAAATCGATTAAGCGGTGACTGTCTGTCCGTCCGTCCGTCCGTCCGTCCGTCTGTGCACACGATAACTCGAGTAAAAATTGAGATATCTTAACGAAACTTGGTACGTGGACTTCTTTTGGGCATAGGACGGATGGTATTGAAAATGGGCGAAATCGGACAATAACCACGCCTACCTCCCATATAACGGTAATTTTCAGAAATACGAAAAGTGCGATATTTTAGTAACTACTGAAGATAATTCACTCAAAATTGATATTTACAATGAGTTTTAGACGAAAAATAAGAATATTAAAAAATTTTGGCAAATGGGCGTAGCCACGCCTACTTATGGTTACATGTGTATATCTTGGTAACCGCTGCACCAATTTCTTCCAAACTTGGCACAGTTGTTGGTCCTGCTACAATATACCGAATGGCCGAAAATTTTTAAAATCGGACAATAACCACGCC